CACTTTGAGGTTGATCTCCTTGGTGGTGAGTTCTTTCCCAAGTTCAGAAATCTCTCCAGTGAGAAAAAGGAGTCTGTCATACATCTTGGAGATGCTTTCACCAGGGGGAAGTTTGAAGTCATCAAACTTCTTGTTGGCTATTTTCAGCTTTTTGTCCTTCTCTTGCTCATCACCAGCTCCTATGAGTTCAAGAGTATCCCATATTTCCTTGGCAGTTTGCACTTTTTGATTATGTTGAAGTATCTATCATCAATGGGCTTGTAGAGAATGTCCTTAGCTATGTTGTCAAGATTGTACTTTCTTCTTTCTTAAGTGGTCCACTCAGATTTGGATTTGTCAATCATTTGTGGTCTTGTGTTATCAATAGCATGTTCATGATTCACCTTTTGGAAGTTGGTGAATGGCCCTAGATCAAGTACTTCCCACATCTCATCATGAAGAGCACAAAGATGTGCCTTCATCCGGATCCTCCAGTCATCAAACTTAAGATCTGAAAACATAAGATTCTTGGAAAGAGTGATCCATTATAAGAGATTAAGGTAGAGGCAAAGAAACAAGTGGATCTTTGTTCAGCGAGTAACCTAAAAGATTACAAGAACAAGGAGGCTCTGATACCACTTGTTGGTCCCGGTTATACAAGGTACAGTCTAGAGGGGAGGTGAATAGACTGTACTGGTTTTTAACCTTTTCAAGCTAAATACTAGACTTAACAGAATAGCATGTTAACTCACAGAGAAGAAAAGGCAGTAGACCTTCTGTTAACTCACAAGAAAAGTTCTGCTGAACACACAGACCAAGTCTTCAGAGTTGATCAGTTAAAGATAAAGGCAAGTATTAAAAGCAGTAAGTAAATGACACCAAGGATTTTTATAGTGGTTCAAGGAACAACGTGTTCCTCTAATTCACTGTTCCACTAAGCTTGTAAGTAATAATTACAACGCTCAAGTCCTAGCACTTTAGAAGCTCTCCACGTCTTTTTCAAGTGTAGATGTCTCCTGAGATGTAGTTCCTTGCTTCCTTTAAGACTGATCCTTTCACTGAGCTTCCTTGAAGTATACCCACTTCACTACTCCAGTTACTTGGACGCCCTTCTTTGATAAGAAGATTACTCTGTAAAAATAGTGGTTTATCCAACTTGCTTCGTCACAAAGGATGTGGATATGAAGTGTTTGAAGTGTTAAAGAACTGTAGGAACTTTGCTCTTGTTGGAAGAAAGGATATGAAAATTATACCTTTCCAACATAAGCTTTTCTTTTTGAGATGATGAAGTTATAGTCTCAAGAAAGCTTGATAGTTTGAATGTTGAAGTGAGAGCTAAAGTTGTCTGGTTGTTCTTCATGTAGTATCATATATACTGGGGTTGTCTTCCCGTTGGAGGAGGAGGACAACTGCATTAAATGCGCGTACTGTAGAGTTGACCGGTAGGGCCCAGTAAAGTTGGTGAGTTGCTATTTTGGGATAAGATGCTCCTGGAATGTCGGCCAATCATCAGCTTTAACTCTACAGGATGTGGAGCTCATTAAATGAGCATTAAATGCTTGTACTGTAGCTTTTCCGTTGAAGTCTCCTAGCCGTTGAGGGAATCTTCCGTTCATTTCACCGGCTTAGATAGAGTTATGAAAAACTTCTAAGTGTGAGGCCTTCTGGTGTGCTTGAACAGAGGATCAATCAAAGAGGGTCACGAGCACTTCTGTTAGGATAGAGGCTAGTTGAGGCCTGGGGTTCTTCTGTCCAGATAGGATAACAGAGAACCGGGAGGGGGTCTTCTGTTCAGATAAAGGCTAACAGAGAACGAGGAGGTCTTCTGTCCAGCCGACTATACTAAGGTGCTTACACTTAGAAAAGATTCTAATACAAAATTCTAATAGGGGGGTACTCTAATATCCTAATTAATCTAACATCATCAAAATCTAAATACATTTATTCCTTCAACAGTTGTAATATGATACAGTATTACTCTATATATATACGTAAATGGGAAGAAGTGGTCCAGCTCAGTTGGTCGCCGACTCACTCTCCTTCATGAAAGGTCTCGGGTTCAATGCTCAATGAGTAAGTTTGATCTCAGTTTACTCAGACCTTCCAGCCCCCCTCCCCTGACCCCCGGGGTAAAAACAAAGGGGAAAATACTTAAATGGAGAATTTTTCTCTCCCTAAAACTCTCACTCTTCTCTCCTCGATTATTAATATTATACGTAGCATTATTGTAATTAAAATTAAAATTAAAATTTTAAAATAGAGTAATGCTAGGGAGTAAACTAGATAATACTACAAAGTACCAATATTTTCATACTTCAAGAATAACAATTATGAGATAATAATATTATATGACCTATTTTTAAACTTTCAAAGTTTCAATAATTATCTGTAATGAATAAATTGTATTTAGATTTTGATAATGCTAAACTAATTAGGATATTAGAGTACCCCCTTTAGAAATCTTGTATTAGAATTTTCTTTGTGTAAGTAATAGCATAGTCGACTGGCCAGCAACCCTCTTGGATCTCTTGATCAGAGTTGCTACCAAAGTTGCTCACCAGAGTTGCTACCAGAGCTGCTCATCAGAGATGCTACCAGAGCTGGGCGCCAGAGTTGCCATCAGAGCCGGCCATCAGAGTTGCTATCAGAGAACCTCATCAGACTTGCTGAGACTTAGAAGAATTTGAAGGCACCTCAAATAGTCGTTAAACTAACGGGGGATTCTCTAACGGCTAGGAGCCTGTCAACGGAACATGCTACTGTTCACGCATTTAATGCTCATTTAACGAGCTTCACTCATTGGGATATTTAAAGCTGATGATTGACCAGGAAAAGATATTCGCGCCCCCAAAATAGCAAGTCGGCTACTTTCTGGAAATCAGCCGGTCAAATCAACACTACATGCATTTAATGAATATGTCCTCTACACTCCAACGGGAAGGCATCTTTCAGTATATATGATACACTTCGAAGGATTGGAAAAACAACGATTCATTCTCTCACAAGCAAAACATTCAATCTCTTGAGACTTCATCTCAACAAGAGAAAAGGCTTAAGTTGAAAAGATCAAAAACTTCATATCTTCATCTTCCAACAAAAGAATCGTTCCTCCAGTTCTTCAACACTTCTAAAGTCTCATCTACACATCATTTGTAACGAAGCTACGTTGGAGAAACTGTTTTTCACTCAAACACTTCTTACAAAAGAAGGGATGTCTCAAACTAGCTGGAGTAGTGAAGTGGGGATACTTCAAGAAACTCAGTGAAACGAGATCAGTCATCAGAAACCTAGGAAGAGCATCCCGGGTGACAACTAGGCTTGAAGAAGACGATGAGAGCTTCTTAAGTGCTAGGACTAAGGCGTTGTAAACTGTTGTTTTTGTAAGCTTAGTGGAACAGTAGACTAGAGGAACGCGTTGTTCCTTGAACCACTATAAAAACCCCGGTGTCATTTACTTTACGCATTTACGTTCTTGCACTTAGATTTTAATTGCTTAACTCCCAAAGAATTGCACTCTGTGTTCAGCAGATCTTGTCCTAAGAGTTATCAGAAAGGCGTTTGCCTTAGTGTGTTTTGAAGGCTACCCGACCAAAACTGCTACCAAAATATCCGCTGCCAAGTCCAGTTCTGATACCAGAGCTAGACCTTCTCTGTCATGTCTGTTAAGATTTTGACAAAAAGTTTGAAACTTGAACACTCTTTTCACCCCCTCTAGACTGTTTCTTGTGTGAACGGGACCAACATTATCTGTGTTCTCTCTTCTTCTTCATTATTCATTTTTTCTTTTAATAATCATCATATGTACTCTTTGATCACAATTTCAAACCCACCAATCAACATCATATGTTATTCAAAGTAACATCTACATCATGGCGCAACCATGAATGAAGAGAAAGAATGTAGTGATGCTATATAAAATGTCATCTCCGAACGCGACACTTTTTCGAGTGGACTTACAAGACCATGCATCATTGCATTGGTAGCAGAAGAGGAAAATATAAGAGAGAAGCCCAAAACTATTATTGTCATTAGACTCATTATTCTTAGAGATGGCAATTGTGACAGATACGATGGATACCCGCACTGAATCGCCCTGGTCAAAATGGTAACGGGTATGGAGCGGGGAATACCCGTTTTGGTTTTACAGGTAACGGGGTGGTTACGGTTTTATACATGCCCACCTCATTACCCGCCCCGTACCCGTCCCGTTTATTTTTGCCTATATTTTTATTACATTTTTATTTATCATATCTCACAACTACTCCCTCCGTCTTGAAATAATTGTCCTGATTTGACCTTCACACAGATTAAGAAAATGAAGTTGACTTCACACTGTAGCGACACTGATTGGTACTGTAGCGACACTGTTTGGCATTGCTGCGACACTATTTGGCACTGTTTATCACTGTTTGACACTGTTTTTTATAGATTTGTTTACCAAATAAGGAAAGTTTCAAAGTAGGACAATTATTTTGGAACATCCATTTTGGGAAAGCAGGACATTTATTTCGGGATGGGGGAGTAAGATTTTTCTATTTTCATTGTGTATATATGGATAATAGATGACTAACTATAGTGTATGAATGAAAGTTCATAATAGATCTTCATAGTCTTTTTTTATTATAATCAGATTTTTTCGTGATTAATTATTTTTCATATTAAGTATTTTTAGGTTCAAATTAATTTAGGTTGTCTTCTTTCTTGTCTTGTAGATATACGAAACTTTAAAGTGGAGTATGAGTCTAGAGTCGTCTATGTGATGTCATTTTTTGTCTTTTAAAATTATTTTTATATTAAAATATTAATGACTCATTTTTTAAACCGATTACCCGTGGTTACCCACGGTTATACGCGTTACCCGGTGGGGCGGTTATGATTTGGGAAAAAATTACCCGTTGGGTGATGGGCGGTTACGGGGCGGGGGGATTACCCAACAAGGCGGATACGGTTATATGTAAAACCATCCCCGAACCGCCCCGTTGGCCATGACCATCCCTAATTACTCTTGCAAGAAGACAATATCAGACCCTAAGAAATACTAAAATTAATCAAAGGGTCATTCTCCTAGTAGGAGTGTATTATTACTCTCAACTCACATTTGCCACATTCTCTCCCACACAAAATTGAAACCAAACAAAAATGTGCCTAAGAGTTGGGTAACTGTCCCTTTAATTAATCATCTATCATGTACAAACAAAACTACATGATTACCCACACTCTCTAGCTTGATGAAATGCATCATCACCTTGGACCAGAGAGTTCCATAGCTTGGATGAGAAGAGAAGAGTCTTCAGTAAGATCAGAAAATCTGTCTGATGAGGAGAACTCATTATTGGCTGTGCATTTAGTAGTAGCCGCAGAAGCAGCCTGATTAACTTTCTGAGAAGCTTCCCACTTCTCCGCTAGCCCATCCCCTTCAAGCATTCTCACCACCTCCGACATTTTTGGTCTATGGCTGGGAAGATATTGTGTGCACAATAGAGCTACTTGCACCATTTCCTCTAGCTCTATTTTGTCATAGCCGCTCTTCAAGTCTTTGTCCACCATTATGTCTACCTTCTTCTCCAAATGTATCTTCTTTACCTGCAAATTAAAGCCATCCTTATCACTCTTAAGTGATTCCACATCGAAGTTTATAAACATTCGCTTGCACCTAAGGGCTAGAATAAGGATTGATTATTCAGAATGAATCTCAAGTCTTAATATTTATATAAGGCAGCACTTTGTATGGCTGGGAAGATATTGTGTGCCTCTCATGTTTCAATTTCTTTGACTTTGTACCATAGAGAATCCAAAACTGCATTATTTTTTATTAGATTTTGTTAGAATTTGCATGTCAGTTGTTCCGTTAGACCTTTCACTAGTTGTTTACCTTAAATATTTGAGTTTACACCCCTCTATTGGGTTTGGGTGTTATGTGTCACAAAGTAAAAAACCATAAACTATGTTGTTCAAGCCAAATATTGAGATAATAATGAGGTGTGGTTTGTAACACCAAACTTCCATTACATAGTTATTCTTGATCAGCATTAAAATGTACTGACCATAGTACCATACATATTAAAAATGCTACATGCTCATATTGTTTTAGAATGACTATATATAAAAGAGATCTAGAACCACATGGAAAATCAAGCATTCGCTTTAGATTAAAGGTGTTAACAGTTAATTAATCATTTGACAGTAAGGAGTGTTTGCGGATCAGGCCAGGAAAATTTTGGCCGGGGTGGTTTTAAAAAAATGCTAAACATAATAGCTAAATATGGTTTCAGTTCTATCAGTTTTGGTTTATTGGTTTTGACCAGTTCAGCCATTTCAAGGACTAAACCTTGTACCAAAAACAAAAGCTGGTTTGATCGATTTGTGTCAGTTTCAGTTATGACTTGTTCGGGTTGACTTAGGTAATATTTCATTAATTATGCGCTTATTTTTTTCAGAAAAACACAATGCTACCCTATAATCTGTGTTTATAAAAAATGGTTGATTTACCCAATCAAGCATGGCGCCTTTCTGATTTGCTGCTTTGCCAAACTCCAAAGCTCTTTGGCCAGTGATCAGTTCCAGCAAAAGTATCCCAAAGCCAAAAACATCTGTTTTCTCAGAGGATTGGCCCGTGGAGAGATACTCGGGCGCTATGTGCCCCACCGTACCCCTAACTGCAGTCGTGACATGTGTGTCACAATGATCCAGAAGCTTTGCCAATCCGAAGTCACCAACCACGGCCTCACAATAGTCGTCCAGCAGAATGTTGGCAGCTTTGACATCTCTATGAATAATCTTGGGGTCACATTGTTCATGCAGGTAAAGCAAACCTCTTGCGGCTCCCAAGGCTATTTGTTTCCTAGTCCCCCAATCCAATGATGGTTTAGCTGCAAAGGCATTTGGCATCTAATAATTTAGAGTAACTCGTTTAGGGTTAACTTAGCTCATGCAATAACCCTCAAGTTATCTAGCCCAGTTTAGGATGAGCGACACGTTACACGTAATGTGTCCCCATACTCAAGAGTTAATAGAAGTATATAATTTAAGTTAGTTTTAAGTACTGAGTATATAATTTAAGTATAGTATATATACTAATATCAGTGTCTCTTTTTTTTAATTAATACTACGTACTTATCAAAGATCGCCTAAATAGAATGTGATTTTACCTTTAAGGCGGGAAGCAACACTTCCATTGGACATAAAAGGGTAAACCAACAATCTTTCATTAGAAGTCATGCAAAACCCATAGAGCTTGAGAAGGTTTCTATGTACAGCTAAGCTGATCATCTCAACTTCTGTCTGGAATTGGATACCACCACTAACCGCATTCCCATCCTTAAGCCTTTTCACAGCCACAACTGTCCCGTCATGTAGACGACCTTTGTAGACGTTTCCGAAACCGCCCTTACCCAATATGTTCTTACTGTTGAAGTTGTTTGTGGCAACCTGCAGTTCTCTGAATTGGAACATCCTCAAATTTCCTAGGCGCACTTCTTCTTTATGTTGTTCTGAAGTCAACCATGAGATTGTTAAAAAAAAGTCTTCACAAGTGATTATGAATGATCTTAGGCAAGGCACACTCACCATTATAGTCAAAGAAAACTTGTTTTATTCTTCTTTGTCTCCACCACATAGAGAAACAAGCGCCAAAAATTACCAAACAGATACATCCTAGACTTGATCCAAAAGCTAAAGCTACTTTATGAGTTTTGGGTTTTATGAGGGGCTGTTCATCTGTGAAAAGTGAAAACATAAAAGAAGAGCATCAGACTTGGTTAAAAAGAAAATAAGAAGGCAAAGAGCTTGCTGAACTCTCAGACAATTTTTCATACTTTCCTGAGAATTTGAAGGACGAGAAAAGGAGGGAACTTTTTTGCAAGACTCTTCTTACAGAAAAAAAGTTACCCTGTAATTACTTGTGCATAAAAAATACGTAGTAATTGTGAGAAAAGTACAAAAGGTGAAAAGAATCTTACCCTGTGAAATTATGAAAGGGGAAGGAGGCAGACGGGTTGTCCCATTACACTCTGGCTCTTTTCCAGTTTCACATATCTTAGTATTTCCCAAGATGCTATATCAAGTAAAATATACAGTGAGTAAATGGACTTTCTGGTTTGAATGTTAGATCTTTGATCTCAAAGGTAAAAAAATGTAGAAGAAATTCCAAGAAAATTACTTGAAGGTTTTGGCAAGAAGCCTTGGAACAGGACCTGTTAGATTGTTGAATGACAAATCTCTGAAACACACAAGGGACTCTTCAATATCTCCAAACATTTATTTACCATTGTAACAAAGTAAATAACATTATTATAAAAGTGTTTGGTGTAGGGCTAAGAAAATTACAGAAATGTCAGCTGAGTCATATTTGCCAAAGCCAAAGGGATAGCTCCAGCGAGACTGTTGTTGTTTAGCCTCCTATACACATCCATTTCAAAAAGATAATAATCTTAGCCTCATTATTGCATGCTAGGTGTTAAAAACCGTCCCAGTGTAAGGCAATAATGCTGAATGATGCAACTACTTCCCCTGAGGTTTGGAAAATTACTAAATGAGTTCCAAAGTTTCAGAAGTTTACAAATAAACCCCTTAAGCAGTCATATTTCCCATAAAAATCTCTTTTAACACTCAAAAGAGTAGTTTCTAATGTATATACTGATACTAAAAACAAGTGTGTGCCTTCATAAGTGTTATAAAAGGTGAAGGCCACACTCCAGCATTTGAAGCCTAGACAAGACACAAGGCGAGCCTCCACATAGAAGACGCTTTTAATTTTTATTTATAACTACTCCGTACTATTTTGTTATGAAGTACATAGTACGGAGTATAAGCCAAAGAAATAAATATCCAAAACAAATTATACAAGTTTGAGCACATCTTACATGAATATATAATTTGAAAAGTTACAAATACAAAATAATACGGAGTATATTGTTAGATTTTATTATTAGATCACAATGGTAAAATATTTACCTAACTGATTTTTTAATAACTGTGTCCATTTTAGAAAAAAAATAGTCGATCTTGTAAAACTTTCATCTTTTCCACATCTAGGTTCACTTTTTGCATCAAGATTTGCGCTTTTTCACTTCTTTGATGGTCAAACTTTGAGATGAGTACTCTTTGTATATAGTTTAAAAAATACTCCTATTCAAACTTTCTTTAAACTCAATTCTTGACACTTGACTGATTAAGGGAGTTATTTGTAGTTTTCAAATCTTGAAACTTTCTTTAAATTAAAAACGATCTTTGAACAAATATCTTGGGTAATTGAGTCTGAAAAAACTCAACCCTCTTAATAAAAATATATAGAAATATGTAGTCTATTAGTCTTATAAAAACTCATTTCCAACAACTATTTTCAATTTCCATTCTTTTATCTGCGAATGAAGCTTAGATAAAACTGACTGATTAAGAAGCTGTTCTCTTCGTCTTAATCTTATTACTTATTCCTTATTCTTATTTTATTCAGATCAGATCAGATCAGATCAGAAAGATTCAGATCAGATCAGATCAGAAAGATTCAGATCAGATCAGATCAGAAGCATTCAGATCAGATCAGAAACATTCAGATCAGATCAGAAGCATTCAGATCAGATCAGAAGCATTCAGATCAGATCAGAAGCATTCAGATCAGATCAGAAGCATTCAGATCAGATCAGAAGCATTCAGATCAGATCAGATTAGTTCAGAAATTATTATTACTGTTATTATTACTATTATATAATATTATATATTACTGTTATGTTTTACGGAGTAATTTTTAGTATTGATTTTTTAATAAATGCTAAAATTGAGTACTCTGTACCAATCCATCTAATCTAAATATATAATACTGTCACCATTTGATCGAGAAGAATGAATTGAAGTACAAACATTTATTCAATATCAACTTGCGATTATGGTATCAACTTTCGCACTGCACAACTTTATCCGTCTTTACGAGTTGGATATTCCAATTTCAAGTGCAATCAAATATTTTTATTATTATTAAAAAGGTTATTACTATCACTACTTATTATTATTATTATTATTATTATTATTATTATTATTACTACTACTACTACTACTACTACTATTATTGTTATTATTATAATTATTATTATTGTTACGGAGTATTATTTTTATTATACTTATTAAATAATAATAATAGTTATTATTACTATTATAATTATTATTGATGTTATTATTATTATTGTTATTGTTATTATTCTTATTATTATATACCAATTTAGAAAGTTAAGATCAGATCAGAAGGATTCAGATCAGATCAGAAACATTCAGATCAGATCAGAAACATTCAGATCAGATCAGAAACATTCAGATCAGACCAGACAGATTCAGATCAGATCAGAAACATTCAGATCAGATCAGACAGATTCAGATCAGATCAGAAAGATTCAGATCAGATCATATCAGATCAGAAAAATTCAAATCAGATCAGATCAGAACTTAAAAAATTCAGATCAGAAACATTCAGATCAGGTGAAGAGAACAGCTTCTAAGGCACTATTTGCAACTTTCAAAAACCTCAAGGGCAATTTTGTAATTTACACTAACCTTTGTGGAGTTGGATGTAATTAACCCAAACTAATACTTCCTCCGTCCCAATTTGATAGTCTCATTTCTTTTGGGCACAAGTTTTAATAAAGTGGTTGAAAAGGTAAAAGTTATGGTTGAGATTTGAGTATAATAAAGTGAAATGATATGAACCGCATTTTTCTTTACAAAAAGGAAAACAGGACTATCATTTTAGGACGGAGGGAGTAATTATTTTCAATAAAAATGGTAAAAGTACTCACAAGTATTGGAGGGTTTGGATTTGAGCCAAAGAAGCGGGAATTTGACCAGTTAACTTGTTGTCAGAAAGATCAAGTGTCTTGAGTCTTGGAAGATTCCCAAGTTCAGCAGGAATCAGTCCTGAGATGTTATTATTCTGTAGAAGCCTAAAAAGAGGCAGACAAAGCCATCAGAATTACTGTGGTAATTACTTTACTAGAATTACTACTGATCTGTTTTGTACTCACACAATCTCGAGGTGGGTCAGTTTGCCAATATGGGTTGATATTCCACCTGACAAACCTTGGCTTGGAATTGCTCTGCACCAAAATATCAGCTCTCATAAATCCAATCTCAAGTTCAAGTGTGATAAGGGTGCAATTAGACCTAATCATTCTTCTAAATTTACAGTCTTTAGGAATCCTTCAAGTTTAAGTGATCAAGTTGCACAAACCGAATCAAGTAGTTTTCTTGAATTCTACTCCCTCCGTCCTGAATTGAATTACAAACTTTGACCGACACAAGGATTAAGAAATGACAATAAATGATGCTTGCTTTTTACACTTTTGCCCATCTTTCTAAAAGTAGATGCTTTTGTTAATGGGGAAAAAGTAAAAGTAAGGGTAAATTTGTCACTTTATTCTTATTTACATACCTAAAATAGAAAGTGGAAAATCATTTTGGGACAACCAAAAAAGGAAATTTTGTAAATCAAATTGGGACGGACGGAGTAAAAAATACTCCACTATTATTTCTTTTACCCTATTGGCATTATGCCTACGAGATGAAAAGTACTTAAATATTTTCTCTCGTAACCTCCCATTTTTCACGCTTGTTAATTCACAATTTTTACCGTCACTATATTTAATTCTCTATTAGTAAAAAACTTTTAAAAATCAGATTATGAAACCCTGTGATGGGACGAATTCAACAATATTTTCAAAAAAATAATTCACATACATTAATAAATAAAATGTAGTCAAAGTACAGTACATGAATAGTGTGTAAATTTCAATGTTGCATTGTTGCAACTATTATGATACGGAGGATAGTATATTAAAATGAATTTCTTACTGTCCCATATATATTTATGGGACTTTTTCTGTATTTATTTATTTATTTGTTGTTGACTTGTTGTTACTTTTAATTTCTAAAAAGTTATCGGGGTATAATTTGCAAATAACCACAAAGATTAAAATTTTCACCAGCATCACTAAAAAATTTCACTGTCACCCACACCTGATTTTTTCCTTAGAACTCAGTTATTTTGGAAAAAGTAAAGTATTTTACTAGAGTGAAAATAAATAAGAATCCAATACTACACGGTATTTATGAGGGTGAAGCAACGGAGAATCAATAAAAGAACAAAAAATTTGTTTGTACACACTCTTATACACACCGTCTGAGAGAAACATTTTTTGTCTGTGAATCTCATTCACAAACAAAGACGATGTGCATAAGAGGGTGTACAAAAGATTGTACACGTAACAAAGTTCATAAAGAAAATGAATCATTCTTGATGTACTCTATTTTGGATACCCATTTGTACACCACCATTTGTGGGTTCACAAAAATCTTATTTCATACCGAGTATTATGTAAATAATTGCCCCATTTTTATGAATTGCTTTTGTGAACCACACAAATAAGAGTGTACAAATGAGTACCCGAAATGGGGTACTACTATTTTTTCAAATGAATTACTTTTGTGAACCACACACTACCGAGTACAACGTATTGCTTCGCACAGAAAACAATTGTTGGTTGACTCCTTTGTGAGGTGTCTTTACCGTCTTTAGGCACTTGTCAATTTGTCATTTTTTAGATCATTAGTAATTTGGTATCCCTATGACCCTATACAAACTAGAAAGATAACGGGGTATACTTGTGAATTCGCCCCAAAAGTGAGAGGTGATGGTGATCAAAATTATGGTCTTACCAAATAAAGGCCTAATTGTTACTCCGTGTTCTCGGATACACTTTTCTTATTAAATTGGTTCGAAAAATATCACAACACTTTCATAAAGTAAATTGCATTATTTTCTCATTTATCTCATTTATCATAAACTAAATTGCTTTCAACTTTTTCTTACTTACCGAGGTTAAAATTGTAAAATACTCCCATCATTCCTAAATTAAAGTTTCATTTTTGTTTTTTGAGATGTCGTTAAATTAAAGTCTTACATCTTTATTTGGTAAACAAGTTTATATCATATAGTGTCAAAACAATATACTCAACAGTAAAATTTATCCCCGTGAATTTGTTTCTTTAATTACGGAGGTAGTTTCAAGTAATAACTTTGTACTTCATTTTTTTTAAATTGTGTCAAACAAAAGAGCAATTAAAGAAAGAGGTAAAAGCAAAACATACAGGCCAACCACAAACTTATCAGGAGAGCAAGTGACCATACTCCAGCTACAAGGATCAACAGCATTTGCATCCCAATTAGACAAAACCCCTCTTGAGTCATCTAATGATGCCTTAATCTCCATCAATGCTTGAACTGTTCAATCACCAATCAAGAACATATGTATTACTCTCTCCATCTCAATATAATTGTCCCATTTTCTCATTTTCGTATGTCCTCCCTATTATTGTCTCATATCATATTTAGTCACATTTGTGTGCCTCTAATTTATTCTTATTTTATTCTCACTTTATCAGCTCATTATCAATCACATAATCTTACTTTTGTTTAAAAAAAACACCACTCTCTTTCGTCCCAATATTAGGGGAGATAGTAGTTCTTAATCACACTTAGGCTCCCTTTGGTCGTACACAACATTACAACATCCTGTTATGCTATTCTGCTCATCAGCCGTTTGGTATAATCAGCTTCATCTACTTCTCAACCAAGTAGCTTTTGAAGTACTTTTGCCCGAAATATAGATTACCAAATGAGTAATATTTGTCTTTTGAGTTTCTTCTTTTGCTAAAACGAGCATTACAGAAGAACTTTAAGTTGAGAAAATTTAACAAATTCAGCCATTTTAGCAACTTGCCAAACGGGTCCTTAACTACTAATCCTGAAAGAAGTATTTGGAGAGAGTATATTATATACATACCTTCAAAATTGATACCATCTGGGGATAGCATACCACTGGTCTGCCAAACCAGGGAGGTAAGAATCATCACATTCAACAGAGGGATCAAGCCCATTTTTCTTCTCCTAAGCTCCACTGCTAACAACAAAAATATGAAAGATTCTTGATCTTTGAAGAATTCAAAACTTGTTTCTAAACTATAAGCCATTAATGCATTATTGCAGTTGTGATTTTACATACAATACACTCACTCAAAAGGGAGGCAGCAGATAAAAAAGAAAAGAAGAAAAGATGTCTGTGTCAGAGTGCTCCCCATTTAGCTATGCAAAAGCATAGGTTTTGGTGGAGGAAAAAGCTTTTGTATCCCAAATTAACCCATCACCAAAGTTTTTTGTAAGTTTTAGTGGGACTGATTATTTAATCATTTATGATTTGGTTTTGTCTTAAAAAGGTGTTTTCATATGAGGATTAGTTCAAAACTCTTAATATAATCAACCACTAATTGTAAAGAGACAAAAATGTAGTGGTGGCAGTAATGCAGTACACAATAATAGTAAAGAAGATAGATTCTTTTTTTATAAAAAAAAAGTGATTTCACAATAATAATTGAGAAAAACAGAGTAGAAGTGGGGGAATAAATGACTTGAAAAGACACTGGGTTTGGAAAAGGAAAAGGAAAAGGTGAGCAATCATACATTGTTTAAGAGAAAGGGTGACTTGTCACTCTTGCTGCCTTGAGGATTGAGGATCCTCTTGTTGGTCCCTTTGAAGAATTTAAAACCAAAAGCATATATGACTAACTGAGTGTTAAGCACTCCAAATGATTCTTTTATATGAGATTTCACCTCATAAATAAGTCTTTCATGGACCACTGGAGTTTAGTATTCGAGGTCTTGTCCGACAAATCTTTGTTGGGAATTCTTTGCACCTAGTTAAAACTTAAAACAACAAAGTTGAATAGTGATTCGTTTCCATGTCACAAACAAATTTAGTCAATTTTAAGACAAATTGCCTCTATTCTGGATACCATCTATTTTTTCGAGGTTTTATTGACATCACATACAATTTAACCATGTCTACACTACCGTATACAACAACATTTTTCTTATAACAAAGTTAATTTTAAATAATACAGAGTATTAATTATAAAAATATCTTTATTTATTTACTCGCATCATATATTTTTTAAGTAAATGTTTCATGTATACACTTTATGATGGCGTATCATATCAAGCCGGCCTGATAGGAACCGTCATCAGGTCGAGACCATTTGGGACTTTTTCCGGTGGAATTTTTTGATGAAATTTTTTGAGCATTTTTTTCATCAAGTCTAATTTACCCCACCAAATTTTAGATAAAAACACAATCAAGAAGACGATTAAATAAATTCTTTACAAAAATTATGCTTTATATATATGTGGGGGAGATCCCATGCAAACCAAGCTTCCGGTGCAAACTACAAACCAACAACATTCGTTGGATTGAACAATACGAACGGTTGATGCATATGGGATGCATTATTAAATTGGTGCACTGACACGTAGGGAATAGAAAAGAGAAAGCACCGTCTTAGGGGGCAACCCCCAGCTTGGATGGTCATCTCATAGGACTTAAGTTTTGGGGGCAATACTAGGTCTTAAGTTCGAATCCTGCAATGGGAGTGATTATTGTGACCTTCCCAAGTTGTGAGCCGGTCAGCTATGGGCAACCTAGGCTCCGGATAGGGTACCTCCGGAGTTTACCTACTTGTAGTCATTTGCCGGCTAGGGTCACAAGGCTCCAGATTAGTCTCGGGTAACCGAGTATACCGGATGTCAATCAAAAAAAAAGAGAGAAAGCACCATGTTAGCGCGTAAGTCAAGGTTACTGTAGTAATCTAACAAAACAAAGAGAAGTCATGTAAACCACAATCAGGAATAACTTTGGAAAACCCTAATTTTATCGTTAGTATCCACTAACAAGGTAAGCGCCCATGAATAGCAAATGGCGAGAAAGGTAAGTTGCAAAACATGGACGATTGAAAACAGAGTGACCAATGATTTCAAAACTTGGAGCAAGGATTTTGGTTACTTTTTTTAACGAAGCCGAGCGCAGGGAAGAGAAGGTGATCAACTATTGCAGGAGATGGCTTCACTACAAATGGAAGATCTGTTGCATCAAATACAAAATGAGCTTGATGAAGGTACTCATTTTTAGATCTTGTTATTTGACTATAGATTCAATAACATTAATATGGATGCATGTTTGATTAGAGTATTGAACTGCATATTTTTTACAAATTTATGACGAACAATGTCGCATTACAAGTTGGGATTGCAATGTATATTTGTATATAGGGTTAATAATATTTTATTGAAAATTTTATGATTAATGTAAGATGCAGTACTTCACATGTATAACCGAACGGGTGATCTTAATTAGATGGAGGGTTAGGATTAGTTTGTAGATTAGTAAATTAAGCCTAGTTTGTGTTGGTGATTTTAGTATCACCAGGTTCATTTTAGTGTAATGGAATTTACAGATTACCAATGGAGTTCAAGTTTAATTTTAGACAAGTTAGGAGGTGCGGAGCGCACACTTGTACGAAATTAAATTTAAACTTGGTTCGATTAAATGGCGGGGGTCAAGGGGGCTGCGCCCCCTTGCGGGGTCCAAGGGGCAGCGCCCCTGGCGGGGTCCAAGGGGCAGCGCCCCGAACCAAAATTTTATTTTATTAAAGAAATAAATATGGAAATTTATTTTCGGATAAACATATCCATATTAATTATTTAATAGAATGACTTTCTGTTAGAGTAAAACTCTAACTGATTGGCCTTATCTCTTTGGTAATCAGAAGAATTCGAGTTCTACTAAAACTGCTAGTTCGTGGTCTATATATTAGTGCCTCAGTTTTAGACTGTCTCTCAGAGTGATTATCCCCATAATCTAAATTTCGTGTAACCCAGGCATAGGGTCGAAATATTAGATTCGGAAAGTGATCACACGATACTCTGAGAAATCCGCCAGCTTTTCTAAAACAGTTTCCCAACTCCCCAGCTTTAACAGTTTGTATTTGATCTCTAATATATATATATATATATATATATATATATATATATATAGCGCAATTTTTTTTCAAGACTTTATTTGACTGTCTTACTGGTTGAATTTTAAGCTGAAATTTGGTGGGCATAAACTAGACTTGATGATGAACGTGTTCAAAAAATTTCATGAAAACAATCCACTGGGAAGGATCTCAAATGCCCTCGGTCGGATAGTGAGTCTTTTCAAGTCGATGACAGGATAGCTACTCTACAATTTACATCTTAATATCTTATCTTTAACAACTTTTATTTTTTCCTCTCCTTTTATTACACTATTAATTACTACGAATAATTTTTTTCAAAAAAAAATTATTCTACAAGTGGTGACTGAGATGGGAGCTGCACCAGCTGTGTTTGATCTAGGTGGAACGCTGGCGGTATGGGTCCCAGTTAAAAGGGGTGAATTAGGGCTCCAATCAGCTTTTGGGGGATCAGTGTGGTTGTTTTGGCCGCCTCAAGTGGTGGAGGAAGAAGATGGTATGTGGATGATTTGTCCCCCTCTTGAACCGCCGCCACAAAGGAATTGTGTGATTAGGGTCTGGAAGACAACGCTTGAAGAATGGATTCTGCGGTTCCACCGGCTGAAGATTATTTATTTTTGCTATGTTCACTTTTTTATTCTTTACTTTGTTTTTATTAAGTCAAATAATAAGGGTGGTAGCTCCTTAGATCGGTTTACCTGAGTTGCTAGATTTCTGTTGAGAGGCAATCAGGCTGACTCAGCCGCTAATAACCTCAAAGCTCTCACATTTTCAGCAATTAGTCTCACTCTTTTTGGGGTGGACTACTCTATATATGTCTGATAAAGTAGTGAGGGGGGCGGTGGGCTTATGGTTATGTTTGTCTAGAGGGAGTTTAGTGTCGGGTGGTTTCTTTATGTTTTGTAATTCTCCTAGTTGTACTGCGAGTTTTGAGTGAATATAATATGTCAGTTCCCGGTAAAAAAAAAGTTTTTCCCCCACATTGCCGGCGTCGCCTCACATTACTCGTAAACTTTGTGAAAACTCTACGGGTCCGTTTGATAACAGCCAAATTGATTGTATTGATTGATTCTACTGAAATTTATGAAGTTCTGGTTGAAGTAGCTGGATTGACTAATTCTGCTGATTTTTGATAAAATTATATTTAAAATATATTTTATTAATAAATAAATAAATAATATGAAAAACAACATAAATGATCATCTACAGTAACATCAACCAATACAACCAGAAAAATAACTTCAACTTTACTTTTTTTTATTATAACACAATTCGATGCGCGAAATAAAAATTACGTATTTGATAAAAAGGTTGGCTGATAAGCCGGGGAAAAATATTACCAAACGGGCTCTACCATTGCAATTTGTAAGTAAATAAATATGGAGTATATGATGTCAGTGTCTCAGTGATTATGAGTTCATGATGATGATGATGATGATGATGATGATGATGATGATGATGATGCTGATGATGATGATGATAATAATAATAATAAAGGAGATTTACGTAAATAGGAGTAAATAAAAGCATAATTGCAACAATAGGAGTTTAAAGTTTAAATTTCCAAAATAGGACTAACTCTTCCTATTCTACCCTTTCCCTTGTCCTTAATAATAGGATTTTTAAACAATCATTATAAAATACTCCCTCCGTCCCTTAAAACTTTGCCATCTTTCCTTTTTGGGACGTCCCAAAAAACTTTGCTACTTTCCCTTTTGTTATTTCTCTCTCCTCTGCACAAACCTCAACCACACAGTTTTTACTTTATTATTCTCCGTGCCGGTCAACTTTGGCAAAGTTTTAAGGGACGGGTGTAGTATAAAAAAAAATCAAAATACAAATCGTAAAAAATAATTAAAAAATATATAGACCTCAACCACCACCTCAGCCACTTTCCAGCACCGCCACCTCCGGTCACCGGAAAAGATTGCCAAGTTGGACGGAAAATGTCATCATGATGGCAATTTTGAAGAGAAAGCAAGAGAAAGCTGGATATTTTCAAAGAGTAAAAATGTCATCTTTATGGCATTTTCAGAGAAATGTGGCAGTTTTTACACAAGATGGCATTTTTCCGGCGATCGGAACCGGTGGTGCTGGGAGGTAAAGGACGCGTTGGCAGTGACCTGCATATTTTTTAAATATTTTTTAGGTATTTTATTTTTTTTTGGACTTTTTAAAAAATAATAATAATTTATTTATTATTTTTTATTTTTTCACGTTTTCATTATTATTTTATAAATATTATATTATTTTTTATATTTTTTTATAAATAAAACTATGAGTTTCATATTAAATAAATAAATAAATAAATAAATATGTCACTCTTAATCTGGGGATCGAGTAGACTAAAACCCACATGTTTCCGAACCTAATTGAGTA